CCTCCTCAAGGTTGTCACAGACCACTCCATGGGCGGCAGTTAGGATACCAAGCTCATCACTCTTTACCTAAAGTTTTCTCCTTTCCTCGGTGAGATCCACAGCCAGCCCGACCGAAACGCTCTCGGCCTCCAGCTTCTAGGTCGTCTCCCTTTTGAGTTCAACCTGGAGGGAGCGACTTTCTGTTGCGCATCATCGCGCTCTTGGTAGGCCTGGTCACGCTCTCGAAAAGCCTGGTCGCGCTCCTGGTGAGCCGTGCCGCATTCCGAGCAGAGCCTCTCTGCGGTTTGGATCAGCTCATCCCGCTCCTTGCGTAGCCGAGCGACCACCGCGGCATCTAGGCCCATCCTTTTCTCCAGGGCCGCCAGCTTCTCCTCGGACCCTAGCCTTAGATCCCTTTCTTTCTCAACCTCGCTCAGAAGGTCAAGGATCCGCTGGTGGGTTTCGGCATCCCTCTAGAGAACCTCATCCCGCTCCTTCTTGACCCTAGCGGCTTCTTCATCATCCTTCCATGACCTCGCCGATAGGGCCTCGAACGCCTTCTCGACCTCATCAGCATCCCGACGGGCCTCGTCCACCCACGACCAAAGATTAGCCGCCTCCTCGACAAGGGGAGTCAGCTCGACCACCCTCTAATGAGCGGCGACAAGCTGAGCTATCACCTCCCCGCATAGCCACGCTCCTCGGCGAGGCGGTCCTAGGTTTTCTTCTGTTAATGAAGGAACCAAGATTTCCCCCAGCTATGAGCTATAAGGGATTGCGGGGAGATGATGGTCAGGATACAAAAAGTATATAGATGAAGAAAAGGACAAGAAGCAGGACCAAACCATACCCGACCGGAGGGAACAACAACATCGCGCAATACGCCCGTGGCGTGGTCTAGGGCCTCGAGCATGGACGCTATCCCTACGTCGAGGCTCTCCTGCACCATGCTCTCTGCGGCATCGTCAAGGGTAAAAAGCGTCGATGTTGGATCTTGCGGATCCATCCACTGGAGCAGGGGCTCGCCCCGCACGACCGAGCCGCTACCCACCGATGTTAGGGTCAGGGATGACTCCCCGCCGGCCCCAAGCGCCGCCGACCCCTCTCGCCATGATGTTCCCGCTGGGACACCCCTTTGGCGATGGAAGGGGCCAGCGGTGCGAGCGCGAGTCTCTCTCCTAGCACCACGACTCCTAGGGATGCCTCGACCGCATCCCCTCCATCCGGCCCATGCCAGGCGGCGTCTCTTGGGCCACCGATGGCATGGGGTGCGCCAATGCCTCGGGTAACATTGCGATCGCGCCCGGCTGTGACCCATCTATCATGATCACCGCCACCTCCACCTATGTCGGCAGGGTCACGGCCGATTGCGTCGTGCCCACCACGGTCGGTGCCATGAGCACCGTCGGCAGCCCCGTTCGCCCCGCCGTTGTTAACGGTATCGCGGCCGTCACCGGATGCTTCGCGATGTTTGAAGGCGACCCTTGAATGCCCGTGTCTGCCCGTCCCACCGAGGGCACATGCGCCACCACAGGTGGCACCCGACCGATCGGCGACGCGGTCACATTGGCGCCGCTCCCTCCCAAAATGGGTGCGACACCAGCCGACGGCCACCGCCCTGATTGGAGGGTGATGCTCTTCTTTGGCGCTAGCGCCATGGGATTCGCTACCCACCAATGCTGCAAAGGACGAAAAACACAAGTCACGATGAAATCCGACTAAAACAGGAAAAAATAGAGGAATCGATAACTCACCTCGGTGCCGTCGGGACGACAGATGCGTTTGGGGGACGAATCCCCTAACCCTTGCTCCGCCTCGTCGGAACATGGCTGCTTTGAGCCTGCCCCCTGCTCCTAGGCGAGAGGGGCCTCGTCCCGGGCAGCTCCTGGGGCACGTTGATGGAACGCCCCGCTCCCCTTGGCTCTTGGGGCGCGACGGCGGGCCACCCGCCTCCGCTGGAACCTCGGGTGCGACGGCAGAGCCGCCCGCCTCTGTTGGCTCCTAAGGCAGGCCGATGGTACATCCCACCTCGGCTGGCCCTCCAAACGTACCCTCCCCTCCATGGGACGGGAAGGGTCCCGACGCCTGCAAGGAGGAACCAATGCTTGTCAGCACATCGTCATTCTCTAGGTTGTCCCACTAGATCTCGTTGGCTACCATTTCTTCATCCTCCATCACCTCATCATCGTCACCATCCTCATCATCATCATCATCATCATCATCATTGTCGGTGTCATCCCCTCGTTCCCACGCCCACAGCTTCTGCTGCTTCTTCCTCTTCTTGTCCTCCTTCGACTTCCTCAACCGCTCGCCCTAAGTGTTATTCACCACCCTCACGATCGAATCCCTCAGTAGCGGAGCCGAGTAATCCATGAGGATGAGGTCCCTCGGCTGGTCTCGCCCCTCTCAAAGTTAGTCCCACGGGGTTAGGAAATCAATTGAAGAGAAGGCAGGAGAAAGGGAAACTTACAAAGACGACGTAGCCTAGCTCCAGCCACATCGGAGGAAGCCCCGGCACCGGGTAGATGAAGTGGAGGCGGCACCCACGTCGTCCCATAAAGGCTCCATTGCCTCCTTGATGCATTGTGTGATCTCAGAGTTGGGGAGCATTGCCTCAGCGAGCGCCATTCCATCGAACGATGCCTCGGGCGCCATCGCGTATAGAGGGAGCATGCGCATCATCACGGTGCCACCCTCCTCATGTGGTAGGCCCCGATGACGCCCAACCCTTTTAGGCCATTCTCCTTCAGGATGTGGATGGCGGTGATGTGGTCTCGGATCTTCTTCTTGTCCTTCTCTGCGACGCCCCATTTCGTCCACTGCTCTGGAGCCTCTTCAATCAGGTGCCCGTGTACTCCGGTAGAGGGGCGACGGCGTCATTCTTGAGGTAGAACCACTGCGAGTGCCACCCTTTGTTGGACATCGAGAGCCGCATGGATGGGTACTCGCCAACCCGATTGTTCCAAAGTTGGATGTCGGCGCACCCCATCGTCATGTGCAGCTCCTACCTGCCACCCTTCTCCCTCTTCCTCTAGAGGCTGACGGTGAAGAAATACCTCCACAAGTCTTAGTGGGGGCTGATCCCCAGGAATCCTTCGCACAGCGCGATGAACACCGCCATGTGCTAGATCCCATTGGGATTGAGATGCTGCAGCTTAATCTTGTAGAAGTGCAGCAGCCCCCGAGGAATTTGTGGGCGGGGGTCGCAAGCCCACGCTCGTGGAAGTGGGCGAACGACACCACGTAGCCGTCGGGCGGCGACGGTGAGCCCTCGTCGTCGGGCATCAACCACTCCTCGGCCGAGGTCCGCGTGTGGAGAAGACCGCGATGGACAAGGCCCTCCATGCGTTGGAAGGTGATGTCGAAATAGCACCACGGATCCATTGGAGGTGGGAGCAGATGGATGGGAGTTCAATGGCGACGGAGATGTGGAGGCTGGAAACCTAAGCGTTGGCGGGGATGGCTTGGCTGCGGAGGCAAGGATGTAGGTGTGCGCATGAAACCAGGAGGGCTAACCCTTTGGTTTTATAGGGGCGACAGGTGCGAGGAAACCAACCACCTGCCTAGATCTCCACGCCTGCCATGACCTGTCACCATGTCTCGTCGTGAGGCGTGCGCACGCAACCTATGGCCGTCCCCTTGAAAAACGCGCCGGACGTTTCGCCTCCCCGAACGGGATATGACCAGTCACAGGTAGGAGGGATATGGAGCTGAAAATGTTCCTATGGCCCATCTAAGCCTAGGAGTTCGAAGGTGATAGGTTATGAGGTTTCTACACTAGCAAAAAAAATAAAAATTTTGGCCCCATAAACCAGGAACTACCGCTAGTTATGGATCACGGGATTACCACAAGACGCGCAGGTGCAGCGGAAGCGACTTGGTGTAGTCGTGCACGTCGCAGCAGTGCCGTGCAGTTGCGTGGTCGTCCTTCCGCCTGTCCCTCTCATGCGGTTCGTCCTTGTGCTCCAGATGCAGCACCTCCGAGGTATCAACACGTACAGGGAGGAAGCGTTGCGCCTCCGGACTACTAGGTCCGCGAGGAACGAAGGCGCGGGCGTGGGGAAGGGTGGCGGCTGCCAAATGGCATGGATTGATTTAGCCCTGCCGCCCTCCCCTTGCTTATATAGGCATCCTAATGAGCTCCCGAGTTGGAGGCCCATTAGCAACCCTAAACCTTGTCTAATTCGGGTCCAATCCGAATTAGGCTTCCAGCCCCTTAAGCGTGCGGCCCTATGGGTTCATGCACACATAGACATGGCCCGAATACTCCTATTCGGCCAATAGTTGGCAGCGGCCTCTAGCAAGACGTGTCAACTCCTATGCATACGAAAAGATCATATCAGACGAACCACCACAAAACCACATACATGTTATTCCCTTTGTCACACGATATTTGGTCCAACTCGTGGGTTAACTATTAACCCAAGCACGGCCATGTATTTTCTTGATCCAAATCATTTGAGTGGTCCAGTGATATCTCTCTCTCTCATGAAGAGGGGCAAATTCCATCTTGATTGACTATGTCTCACAGCATGTTTCTCGACAAACTTGAAAACCACCTTTATAACTACCCAGTTACGGAGTAGCATTTGATAGTCCCTAAGTAGGTCATTTCACATCTTGAGTACATACGACAATCTTAGGTCTAAGGACATAACGTACATGATGTGTAAAGAGACAATAAGAACATCTCACGTTGGGTCTGTCCAGCCCCATGTCATACATGTGCCCACATTATTAGTTTGACATCTCCATGACTATGTCTTGTGAAACATAGTCATCAACTAATAATGTGCTGATCTAATATTCATGTGTGTCCTCACAAGAACTCTGATCAGGGACAACTTTAGAATAACCATACAAGTAAAAGAGTTTCACAAACAATTCATGTAATTGCCAATCGATACAAGTTGTCTTTAATGGATATTCAAATGAACTCATAATATATCATGGATACAAGGCAGTACAATCATCTCTATGATTATCTCTAGGGCATACTCCCAACAATCTCCCACTTGCACTAGAGTTTATCTCGAAGATATTTAATACCCATAGCTCTCATGTGCGTCTCATGCTTAGGCTGTGGAAGAGCCTTTGTCAAAGGATCTGCAACATTCAAATCCGTGTGTATCTTGCACATCTTGATGTCACCTCTACTAATGAACTCTCTAATGAGGTGAAATTTCCGAAGTACATGTTTGTTCTTTTGGTGATTCCTTGGCTCCTTGGCCTGTGCTATAGCCCCATTGCTATCACAATGCATATTCATTGGGCTAGATGCATTTGGAAACACACCAAGTTGAATGAGAAACCTCCTCATCCAAACACCTTCCTTCGCAGATTCAGAAGCTGCGATGTACTCGGCTTCTGCTGTAGAATCAGACATCGTCTCCTGCTTGGAACTTTTCCAGCTAACCGCACCACCATTTATTGTGAACACATATCCTGATTGAGACTGTGAATCATCCATGTCAGTTTGGAAGCTAGCATCGGTGTAACCATTTACAACGAGCTCTTCCTCACCTCCATAGACTAGGAACACATCTTTAGTCCTTCTCAAGTACTTAAGAATGTTTTTAGCAAGTGTTCAGTGACTCTCACCTAGATTAGCTTGGTACCTGCTCGCAACACTTAGAGCATATGAGACATCTGGACGTGTACATATCATGGCGTACATGATGGAACCAATTGCCGAGGCGTATGGAACCTTACTCATATGATTGCGCTCATCAGCTGTCGAAGTACACTGTTTAGTGCTAAAGCGCATGCCATGTGACATAGGCAAGAACCTTTTCTTAGACTGTTCCATGTTGAACCGTTTCAACACCTTGTCAATGTATGTATCTTGGCTTAATCCTATAAGCCTCTTTGATCTATCTCTATAGATCTTAATGCCCAAAATGTATGCTGCTTCTCCTAAATCCTTCATAGAAAAACTATTATTCAGTGAAGTCTTTACTGATTGCAACATTGGAATATCATTCCCAATCAATAGTATGTCATCTACATACAAGATTAGAAATACAACAGCACTCCCACTTTCTTTCTTGTAAACACAAGGTTCTTCTTCATTCTGATGAAAACCAAACCCTTTGACTACTTCATCAAAACGAATGTTCCAACTCCGAGATGCTTGCTTTAACCCATAAATAGATTTCTTAAGCTTGCATATTTTTCCAGCATTGTTTGAATCAACAAAACCTTCGGGCTGTATCATATACACGTCCTCTTCTAAATTTCCATTTAGAAAGGCTATTTTAACATCCATATGCCATATCTCATAATCAAAATAAGCAGCTATTGCTAGAATGATCCGGATAGATTTAAGCATCGCTACTGGCGAGAAAGTTTCGTCGTAGTAAATTCCTTGAACTTGCCGAAAACCCTTTGCAACAAGTCGAGCTTTATAGACGTGAACATTTCCATCCATATCCTTTTTCTTTTTATAGATCTATTTGCACTATATGGGTCTAACCCCATCAGGCGGGTCAACCAAGTTCCAAACTTGATTGTCTTCCATGGAATCTATCTCGGATCTCATGGCACTTTGCCATTTCTCGGAATCTGGGTCCATCATTGCTTCCACATATGTCGCAGGTTCATCATCGTCCAACAATAACAATTCCCCACGTGCCTCACGGATTCTTGCTGACCTTCGTGGTTGTGGCGGTGCCTCTACTGCCACGGGTATCTCAACTTGTTCTGCTACATTAGCATAACTCGTAGAGTCCTTTCCTGTTTGCTCATCTTGAACTTCTTCAAGATACACCTTCTGTCCACTTTTCTCTCTTTTGAGAAACCCTTTCTCTAAGAAAATACCGTTCCGAGCAACAAACACTTTGCCCTCTGATCGGTTGTAAAAGTAATATCCTAAAGTTTCCTTTGGATATCCCACGAAAAAGCATTTGTCCGATTTGGGTGTTAGTTTATCTGACTGAAGTCGTTTGACATAAACTTCACAAGCCCAAATTTTTAGAAAAGACAAACTGGGACTCTTACCAGTCCACATCTCATATGGTGTCTTAACTACGGACTTAGACGGTACCCTATTTAATGTGAAAGCGGCTGTTTCTAGAGCGTATCCCCAAAACAATAAAGGTAGGTCTGACTGGCTCATCATTGACCGAACCATGTCCAACAAAGTCTGATTACGTCTCTCGGACATGCCGTTTCTCTGGGGCGTTCCAGGTGGCGTAAGCTGTGGAACAATTCCGCAACTCTTTAGATGGTTGCTAAACTCGTGACTCAAATATTCTCCTCCACGATCAGATCACAAGGCCTTAATTTTCTTGCCACGTTGATTCTCTACTTCATTCTGAAATTCTTTGAACTTTTCAAATGTCTCAGATTTATGTTTCATTAAGTTGACATAGCCATATCTACTAAAATCATCAGTGAAGGTTATGAAGTATTGGAATCCGCCTCTAGCCATCGTGCTCATTGGTCCACATACATCAGTATGTACGAGTTCCAACAAGTCTATCGCCCTCTCAGGAAAACCTGTGAAAGGCGCCTTGGTCATCTTCCCTAGCAAACAAGCCTCACATGTCTCGTATGATTCAAAATCAAACGAAGTTAAAAGCCCATCAGCATGGAGCCTCTTCATGCGATTCTCACTTATATGACCTAAACGACAATGCCACATATAGGTAGGACTTAACTCATTAAGCCGAGGCCTTTTAGCACTTATATTACAGACAGGTGCATCATCAAGATTTAAAATAAATAACCCATTCACAATGGATGCAAAAGCCACAAACATGTCATTCTTAGAGATAACACAACCATTGTCTTTACTCGCAAATGAATAACCATCCTTCATCAAACATGAAGGTGACACAATGTTTCGACTTAAACTAGGAACAAAATAACAATTATTCAATTCCAAAATAAATCCTGACGGGAGGTGGAGTTGCATCGTCTCGACATTCAACGCAGCAACTCTTGCATTATTGCCCACGCGGAAATCAACTTCTCCCTTTTCCACGCTTCTACTTCTTATCATTCCCTGCATCGTATTGCAAATATGAGCAACCGATCCGGTATCAAATACCCAAGAATTTATATAAGAATTAGCGAGGAAAATGTCCGTAACATAAACAACAAGTGTACAAATTGCGGGAGTACCTTTACCGCCGCTATCCTTCATGGATTCTAAGTACAGTTTGCAGTTCCTCTTCAAGTGACCTTTCCCCTTACAATGATAGCATTTAGTGTCAGCAGTTGGTCCAGCCTTGGGCGCAGGTGGGTTTGGCTTAGAGTTCTCACCTTTAGCCTCAACTTTAGCCTTGCCCTTCTTCTTCTTCCAAGAATTGCCCCTCTTTTTAAATCGGGGCTTATTTTGGACCGCCATCACATGGATACTGCCATCACCTTTCTTGATATTAGCCTCTGCAATTTTAAGCATGCCACACAATTCATTCAAGCCCTTTTCCGCCCCATGCATATGGTAGTTCGAGATGAAGTTCCCATAGCTAGGTGGAAGAGACGTGAGAATGAAATCAGTAGCCAACTCTGGGCCAATTGGGAAGCCCATCTTCTCCAACCTCTGAGTGTAACCAACCATCTTGATCACATGTGGCCCTACTGCTGCGCCCTCTGCTAGCTTGGTTTCAACAAAAGCCTTTGAGACATTGAACCTTTCAGTCCTGGCTTGAGTCTGGAACATATCATTGAGCTCCACGATCATATCGTACGCTGCATGGTTGTTGTCAAACTGCATCTGCAGATCTGGTTCCATACAAGCAAGCATAAGGCAACTCACTTCAAGATCAGCATGACATGCCTTCTTGTAAGCATTTTTCTCAGCAGCAGGTGCATTATCAGTAGGCTCTACAGGTAATGGGGTGTCTAGAATATCTTCCTTTTTCTCAGCCCTGAGAACAATTCTTAGGTTGCGGATCCAATCTGCATAGTTTGTTCCATTCAACTTATCTTTCTCAAGAATTGAACGCAAAGTAAACGGTTGATTGGTAGGCGCCATTTATCTATAACAAAAGTAATGCAAAAATACTAAGACAATGTATCCATGACAGAGTAAATAATATTAAGCCTTTAATAGAATCTACTCCCACTAAAATCAATATCCCTCTATTGCAACTTAGTGATTCAAGACCCACAACTAACAAGTCTACTAGTGAGCTTTAGCATCACCGCTAGAAGACATGGTAGATCGGTAAGCAACTCTTTGCTAATCATATCACATATGACTCTTGTTGTTGGGTAGCATCTCTATGCTATAGCGCCCAACTCCTTATGCTCCAAGGTCCCTAACCGTTAGGATGACCTTGTTCAAGTAACCAACCTTTCTACTGTAAGTATCCGATACAAACCTGTCTAGTCAAGGAAAATCAGTGGCACCCTAATTTCATAGACCCACCACCGACTGTACAAGACCAAAGACAGTGCAAGGTTTGGGGGAGCAATTCAACTTAAACATTGCTGAGGGATCATTCTACTTCACTATCGCATGTAGACAAAAACATTATCGCACGTGAAAGTAGAACATAGTAAGAACGGCATTAACACATATATGACTTGGTATAGCCCATTGTTCCTCTGGGGATCTCCATCTCCATTAATCTCCATGATCCATGTATGCCATCCTTCAGTGATGAGTCCGCCAAGACTAGCTATCACTAACGCAAGGTAGTGAACTAAAATTACATAGTCGCGGATAGGATCATCACAGTTTGGCACGCAGGCCATTACAATAATGTTGACAATATCTATGAGGCTCTAGCCCATATTGTCATCCTCATGACGTGCAAGCCATGAATTAATTACATACATGCATCACATACACATAAGGGCTATACCAGTCATGAAATCCTGCAAAATAGAGTTAACTGATTCCGACGTCTAATCTTAAAACGCCAAAAACACCATCTTCCCCGCCTTTTTTCGCAAAAATAAATTCAGCGAACCCGACAAAGTGGGGGAGAATCAGATGTAAAATTTTTGTCTCTACAATTTTCGCTTAAGAATCGTCTCAATCCGAGGTCGTATGCAAAAGTTACAGCCGTTTTACCGAACAACACTTTTTCTTGCACCCCGGCGCCCGGTAATAGATCCAATCTACCACCACCGTGCATCACATGCGCTCGGCTCTTGACCTAGGTTCGATTCGATCAATCTAATTGATCTCCAACTCACCATGACTGGGTTTACATGTATCACTTAACTCGGATGGCGGAATTCCGACCGGTACGAGTAGATCGTTACAAGACCAACATAGCGAGATCACGAACCATGATCAGAAAAACATCTACAACCGCGCATATCTCCATATGCATACATCCAAATCCATAATGACATAGCTACGGCTCTAATACCACTGATGGGTTATGAGGTTGCTACACTAGCCAAAAAAACAAAAATTTCGACCCCATAAACCAGGAACTACCGCTAGTTATGGATCACGGGATTACCACTAGACGCGCAGGTGCAGCGGAAGCGACTTGGTGTAGTCGTGCACGTCGCAGCAGTGCCGTGCAGTTGCGTGGTCGTCCTTCCGCTCGTCCCTCTCGTGCGGTTCGTCCTTGTGCTCCAGATGCAGCACCTCTGAGGTATCCACACGTACAGGGAGGAAGCGTCGTGCCTCCGGACTACTAGGTCCACGAGGAACGAAGGCGCGGGCGTGGGGAAGGGCGGCGGCTGCCAAATGGTGTGGATTGATTTAGCCATGCCGCCCTCCCCTTGCTTATATAGGCATCCTAATGAGCTCCTGAGTTGGAGGCCCATTAGCAACCCTAAACCTTGTCTAATTCGGGTCCAATCCGAATTAGGCTTCCAGCCCCTTAAGCGTGCGACCCTATGGGTTCACGCACACATAGACATGGCCCGAATACTCCTATTCGGCCAATAGTTGGCAGCGGCCTCTAGCAAGACGTGTCAACTCCTATGCATATGAAAAGATCATATCAGACGAACCACCACAAAACCACATACATGTTATTCCCTTTGTCACACGATATTTGGTCCAACTCGTGGGTTAACTATTAACCCAAGCACGGCCATGCAATTTCTTGATCCAAATCATGCAAGTGGTCTAGTGATATCTCTCTCTCATGAAGAGGGGCAAATTCCATCTTGATTGACTATGTCTCACAGCATGTTTCCCGACAAACTTGAAAACCACCTTTATAACTACCCAGTTACGGAGTAGCGTTTGATAGTCCCTAAGTAGGTCATTTCACATCTTGAGTACATACGACATTCTTAGGTCTAAGGACATAACGTACATGATGTGTAAAGAGACAATAAGAACATCTCACGTTGGGTCTGTCTAGCCCCATGTCATACATGTGCCCACATTATTAGTTTGACATCTCCATGTCTATGACTTGTGAAACATAGTCATCAACTAATAATGTGCTGATCTAATATTCATGTGTGTCCTCACAAGAACTCTGATCAGGGACAACTTTAGAATAACCATACAAGTAAAAGAGTTTCACAAACAATTCACATAATTGCCAATCGATACAAGTTGTCTTTAATGGATATTCAAATAATCTCATAATATATCATGGATACAAGGCAATACAATCATCTCTATGATTATCTCTAGGGCATACTCCCAACAGAAGGTTGGCCCACCGACGGGTCTGACAACCGCTCTGGGCACATTTAGAGTGAGGGGTGGAAAGGGATGGGCCCGCTAGCGGCCAGTACTCGGGCACACGAGCGCCGTGGGCGTCCCGGCCCACGTTTGAGCCTCGGACGGATACGATCCATGGTTTTTCCTCGAAGAAAGGCCGAGAGCCATTGGGACCGATCGAACGGACTAGATAACTATATGGATTGACCGCTGAGAATCTAGAGTCGGTCACCAGCTAACCCAAGTCGGACCCCCGTGAACGGGATGCAGGGGCCCCACTCGAACTAGCCCGTTAACGACACACCGTGCACCATGGCTCGTCCATAGAGGAAAATCATGGCACGGTTCAGCCCCTCTATTTTATCAGAAAAAAAACACTTGAGGGAAGAAGATCACGAAGACGAGCCGACCCTCGACTGGACCCCTGCTACGTGTGGGGGCTCGAGGAAAGTTGGACTCGCAAGGAGACCGAATGCACGGTCGCAGAACGATAGACCCCCGTAGGGGTTGAAATAGGGAAAGATCTTTTCTGACCCACCAAATCTCATGGCTGTACCCCCGAGAGGCCCGATCACGACGAATGGGAATCGCCGTACCCAGGACACGTCGTGGGCAACAAGAAAAGGCCAAGGCCCTCAGAGTCCTTCCGTTTCGGAAAAAGCCTCCCAAGGAGTATTCTACTCCTTCGCATGCTCGGAGGCTACTATCGGGGACCAATACTAGGGTACCCAAAGAGGAGGAGCTAATGGTCATCAACATTGATTCAACCGAGCAGTCAAGAGTGCGCCTACAGCTCTGCCCGACCCCTAGGTGCGAGAGCTCTACCTTGCCCACCCCGAGGCCGTGATCTCCGCCTTGCCAGACCGCCTTGCTCCGACCTCGCCCGGGCCCAAAGGCCGGATCTCGCCTCGCCGACCTCTGGGCCAAGGCCGTGATCTCCGCCTAGCCCGACTTCTAGGGCAGGATTCCGCCTCACCCAAGGCCCGATCTCCGCCTCGCCCGATCTCGCTGCGCGCCCGACCTAGAGGCCGCGATCTCCGCCTCACCCGACCCCAAGGCCCCGATCTCTGCCTCGGCCGACCTCCGGGGGCGGGCTCCGCCTCGCTCGACCCCGAGGCCACGATCACCGCCTCGCCCGACCCTTGGGTTTGTGCTCCGCCTCACCCGACCCCAAGACCACGGGCTTCGCCTCGCCAGACCCATTAGGTGCGGGCTCCGTCTCGCCCGATAGGGACCCATACCGTCACCAACCACTCCAGGTCCAAGCGTATGTGCCTGGGTCAAAACTCTAACACCAAGGAAGAGACCGACATGCCCCGATGTAACCCGCGGCCACGACGGGCCATACATGAGGATTTACATCAAGAACAGCGTCGGGCGTACCGGTGTTGTTCTGCATAACCCTTGTACGAACACTAACAGGCGCGTCAGTTCACCACGACGTCCTCCAGGAAGGTGTGGAGCGCCATGACCGGCGGATGACGCCTGCGCATGGCGCCAGCTGATGGATATGACCGCGACATGGAGCCATCCCTATTGACATTACAGAGTCGGCGGGACCCGCATGAAGGAGAAGAGGGCCCGGCGATCCTGGAGGCCTTTCTCTCTCTCGTTCTTCTTCTTTTCCTCCGCTATAACCCACGCTTTCCCTTGGCCTATAAAAGAGAAAGCAAGGCACCCCATGAAGAGGATCCCGAACCGATCGACTCATCAAGATCCGATATAGATCCGCATAAGAGCACGACATGAACACACAGCTGAGCAGCGATTGAGCTCTCATCACTCACTCACTCCTTTCACCAGAGACTTGGGATCCTTTCTCTTTCTCGCTCGTTGGTAACCACTACTACAAACTTTCGGTGCTAGTAACACGAGCAACAGTGATGAACTGGACGTAGGGACTTTCTGCCCGAACCAGTATAAACCTCGTGTCCTCTAAGCACACCATCCGAGCCAGACGCGCAATAATATAAATTTACTCGTCGGTGGTAACTCAAAACACCGACAAGTAGCGTACTCCATACGCGTCCCCCGTTACTCGATGCGTGTCACCTCCGTCCTCAACTGCCCGGGCGCCATGTCTTCCAGAGCCTCGCTCGACTTGGACGTCCGCCGTCTTGACTCGGTCAACACGATCACTCCACCATGTACACTTGTGCTCGTCGATGTCCCTAGATGTCAGCCACCGCGGTTGGTCATCCGGCCTCTTGGTCCCTCGGTCCAAGTCTCGCGTTCGTCCTTCACCGCTCCCGGTCCATCGGTACGACACGTCCCTACTTGACCTTCACCTCGCCGTCGACCACCGCCTCTGAGCTCCACACATGCGCACCACAAGCCAAGAGACATGTTGCACAACCCATCTCACGCCATGGTTAGTTCAC